TAGCATTTGATAAAGTCTCAAATATGCAATAGGTAGGAACTCATCAATGTGTGAGGTGATTGAACACTGAGATAAGTAATACAGTTGACATCATATTTCACGTTTATTATTGGATAAATGGCAGCATATGGACAAAAGTATACACCATTTTACCCTGGCAAGCAACTACTTCAGTCATTAAATAATTTTATTTAAATAAAAAAATATACCTTTGTACTGTTGGTTATCATTTCCGAGAAGGAAAAAAAAAGTCTAGCAACCGACTGGATTAAAATTTAAAGACTTTGCTCTGTGGTTAAAGACTAAATCTGTGGTGGAAAGAATAAAAACATACACATATTAATATAGCTTGCAAAATTGGTAGATCCAAATCTCTGCAATGTTCTCTCTCCAAATTATGAATTCTCTGTGGGTTTTATTTTGAATTAGGCATTTCTGCTATAATGATAAATTATATTCCCACTCTAAGGAACAAGCAACTAGAATGCCACATTTTTGATACATATTTTTTGCAGCACAGAGGGGATTAAATTTTGAATGCCTCAGCTGTTAAAGTCCCCTTCAGACTTGCCCAAAATGAAGGAGAAAGCTTTCCCTAAAGCAATTCATCAGATCTATTTGGGCACAGTGACATTGTCTCAGAATTTGTAGGGATAAGCTACATTGAATAGTTCAAGGGCTTGTATCTGCTTGGAATATTTGAGAAAAAGATCTCTAGTTCCTATCATGCATTTATCATGGCCTGATCAGTGTTCAATAACTGGCTAATGTCCACCTAGGATCTCACAATTTGTAGTTATATCATAATATCTTCAGTTTCCTAAGTGCTCAGTATGTGCCTGGCACTGTGCTCTTCATTTTCCATCCATTGTGTCATTTATTATTCATGCTTCTGATCTTTGGGGAATGACTGTTTATTAAATTTATGTCTGCTTTTTGCAGTATGAAAAATTTGTTGAACCAAGTCTTATACATTATAAACTGACAAGTACTTACTGTTGTTTTCTCTAACCTAATTGGTGGTTGTTGAATCTAAAGGATGTTCTGACTACTTTAATAAAGGCAACAGGAATCACTTCCATAAATAAATCATTAGACATAGAACACATGTGTAAACAGGTAGCATCTTCTAATTTGCTGAGTGTTGATGGACTCAAAACAGTTATTAGAAGAAGCCACTGATGGAATAAATTTATTGATGGAATAAGCCAAACAATTGGAAACAAGGTGTTGTAATGTGTTAAATGGCAATTTCAAATAAAATGAAGTGCTTGATACATTTTCACATGATTGAAAAATGAAGAATATTTTAGAATTATAAAACATAGCCTTTTTATGCACTTACCCTTTCATTATTTTAAGGTAAGTTAGATAGGACAGGTAAATGCACCTGACGTAATATACTTTAATATTTTGTGTTTTGTGATTTGAACCATGTCTAGCATCATCTCCTACTACATAGTCTATATACCCTTCTTACCAAAGGACTTGAAGGTTTCTGACCAAGTTATAGCCTTTCAAACTGCTGTTCCCTCTGCCTGGAATGCCTTTCCCATCTTCTCCTCTCAGTCTTCAGGACTCTGTTTGAATACTACCACCGCAGACAAGCATTCCCTGAATTGTTTCCCCCAGAACCCTTGCACCCACCCTTCCTCTGGGCTCCACAGCACCCTGTGTATACCTCCAGTAACCTCATGTCATACATGATACTATAATTTTCTATTAACTGGCAAGCTGCACTACATTGGCCTCTTTGGAAGCATGGTCTGTCTTTTATGGTTTTATTTCTGTTTTCTCAGTACTCAAGTCTACACAGAGCATGGACTCAGTGAATGGTTGTGACTTGAAGGTGTGAATATTTCATATATATCATGTATATTATGAGTACTTGGCTCACTTCCCCACCTCCCACATCTCTACACACACACACACACACACACACACACACACACGCATGCACGCACGCACACATTCTCACTGCATTCAGCTGTGTGCAGACTCAACCACAGTTTTTACTGTAGTCGCTGAAGCTCAAGGTCATGTTCTGGTGGAAGTGACCACTAGAAGAATGCACATTTGTGTTGGGTTCTGTTTTCTCTGCTGTCTGGAGCACAGGATGTGTTTGAAGTGATACCTATCCTGGTGAAATCTGGGGGTGGTTTTATATCAGCACTATGAGAACACTTTCATGCTAAACAAGAATATGGAAACATGAAGAAAGGTGAAGACTCGGGTCCAGGCAGCCCAACGGAAATTGGGCTCAGGGCCTGAGCGGTGGAAGGAGCACCTCTGCCCACTGCAGAATCCAGTTCCAGGCGGAGTGCACAGCAGCCAGTGTCTGGCTTCCCTCGCCCTCTCTGTGCTCATTACTTGGTTTTCTTTGATAGAACGTGGGAAGCAGACGCGGATTGCCAGGGAGCAGGCTTTTACAACTGTGATTTCATTCCGTTTTGAAGTTTCTCTCAAAATGGTTGATTTACTTTCCTCTCATGTATGCATTATGTATGTGTCGCTGCTCACAATCGGTGACTCAGAAAGGCCCTCCGCATCTTTGTGCCCAAACCCTCAGCCATGCAATGCAATGCAATGCAGCAACTAAGAGAACCAGAGAGCCGTGCTGGGCTCTGAATAGACAAAAGCACGAATCTTGACAGGGCCCCCTCAAAGAAAGGTGCTGTTTTGCAATCAGCTATCGGACAACAATTAAAAACAAGGTTCTTACCTGTTTACTTAATGGGTGACTGGCCTCTTTGCTTTTATTTAGCCATCTGTTCTGGTCTGTGTCCCTTTAAACTTGTAAGATCCATCACTTCATTTAAGCTGTTACCTTGACACATTGCAATGTTGTGGACATAATGATTCTACAGAGGAGTAAATTAAAACGGTTTTTCATGATTAGAAGGTTAAATGAGGTAGGGCTGTGGTAGTTAGTGGTGAGATAAGGGGTGTTGAAGAGTCAGAGCTCAAGGGACTTTCCAGTGATTGGAAAATTAGGCTGGCTAGACAGAGGGACGAGGCTTTTACAAATGACGGGAGCTGAGCAAGAACGAAGACTTCTTTTGGGTGTTGCTGCCTGCTGGGGGCTGGTTCCACGCAGAGGTTGTGACCCTGGGCCCAGGGAGGACACAGGGACTGGCTTTGGGTTTCTTGTCTTCCCTGAGAGGGTCTGTGCAGAGCAAAAAGAGCTAATTCCACCAGGAAATGGTAAGCAGAAAAAACAACAGCAACGAAGTTTTCAGTCTTTCCCAGAAAGTTATGTGGCTTTCCTGAAGTTTGAAGAAGAATCAGGGGTCAGGGCAGCTACTTGAAAGAATGTTTCATTGTGTCTCTACCCTGCACTTCATACCAGGGTTGTTCCTGAGCTCTGTCCTCAGCTCTGCTCTTTCTTCTTGCTCTAGACTTCACTTTCCACCTGACTCCTTGACAGCTCTACCAGGATGACCCACCAGTCCCTGGAAACTGGTACCTAGAAAGCCAAGGGCTTTATCTTCTTACTCTCTTAAATCAAGTTCTGCTCTGACCACTCTGGTTTCTCCTGATATAACCCATATTATTGCTGTCACCAAGACTCAAACTCTCGGGCATCTCTGAATTTTTAGTCAGCCGCTTCCATCCCGTCAGTACCGAAGTTCTGTGCCTTCTACCTAAATCGTGTCTCTCACATCTTTTTCTACTTTTTTTCTTCCCTCTTCCCCTGCCCTACTTTCCATTGCTCATTATCTCTGTCCTAGCCAATTCGGATGGCCTCCTAACTAGTCACTGCCTACCTTTCCTCTCTCCCTGCTCTGAAGCATCTCAAACACTTGTATATCATGTAACTTATAACTGTCCCCTTCAACAAAATAAAATGAATTTTAAAAAATCTCCTTTGGCTTTCCATCACCCAGCAAACTCAGTACAGATATGTTAGCTTGGTATCTGAGGCAGTTCACCATAAAGTTATCATTCGTGTTTCTGGCTTTTTCCCCTTTGTGCTTCAGTAAGACAAACTGCTCTATGACTATGAATAACCCCACGTTTTCTTGTCTCCTTGCTCCATTCCCTCTACCTAGAAAGCTCTGTTCACACATCCCTACCAATTAAAACTCATGCTTTTATCAAGCACAATCTCAAGTGCCTTTCTGCTTTCTCCCACCCCAATCAGATATAGTTGCTCCTGTATTTTTGTTCCATGGCAGCACATTTAAGAGAATATTCTTATGCTGCTTGGCATGAAATTTTATCCTCTTGTTAGCTTTTTGAATCTCACTTTTGGACATCCTATAGCACAGACAAAGTTCCCTGCTTGTAGAGAGTGCCAGATACAGAAACAGAAGAATGAGTGATAATGAGTCTATAAGGATGCAAAAAAACCACCCATCCATTCATTTATTTATTCATTCCTTTCACTCAAGTGTCTTTTGAGTGCTCAGTGTACTGTGTTCACCTGGGATACAGAGATCAATATGACACAGTACATTCTAGTTCTCCAGGAACTCACAATAATGTGGAGGAAAAGCCACATAAATAATTACACAGTGAAAAAAGTACAACAAAAGAAGTGCCTTCAAAGTAAAGTATGGGAGTCACAGGACTTTACCTCTGTTAGGGTGGGTAGGTTGGGGGTGAAAGGAAGGCAGTGGGAGAAAAATGGGCAATTAGGAAAGGCATCCTAGGGTTGGGAATGCATGATTTGGGTTTTGCAAACTAAATAGGATTTTGTAGGGATTATTGGGGGGCAGGGAAGGGTAGAGGTGGAATGGAAAAGTCCAAGGAAACCTCTCTGCATGCTCCCAGAGGCCTAGCACACTAAGGCAAACTGGTCACCAAATGATTATTTGCTGTCTTCAAGTGAAATATTGTACATGACAGAATCCTTTGATCTCTATGAAAGAAAAAGAGAGGAATAAAGGAATAAAGAGAGGAATAAAGAGAGAGGAATAAACTGCCCTCTGTGACTGCTTTTGTTTGAATATTGTTCATTCATTCATTCATTCTTCTTTTTTTTGAATGTTTTATAGAGAAAGTCTGTGATTGCGGTGAGCTTCATAGCAGCGTTCCTCTTCTTGCTGATTGTGCGCCTTGTAAATGAAGTAAATTTCCCATTGCTGCTAAACTGCTTTGGACAACCTGGTACAAAATGGATACCATTCCCTTACACCTACAGGCGGCCCATTCGAACTCACTATGGATACATAAATGTGAGGACACAAGAGGTAAGACCTCAGAAGGTTACCTAGGATTCTGAGGGTATCCATGGTAACAGCTTTTCTTTAGGAACAAGATGGTTTCCAACTCACTGAACTTACTCTCTCTGCCCTGGAGAGCTTCTCTGGGTCCCTGCAAACAACTTCCGTTTTCTCATTCTTAAACATTTACTGACAAATGTCCAAAATCTGCCAGCCTTCCTACATCAAATCTTCTGATTCACTGGCTTCATATGGAGTCAAGGGAGCAGTTACCTGTTGTCCTGGTGGTTTGTGGCATAACATACATATCCTTCCATTTAGAAACTCTGATCAGCAGTTGCCAGCTGGAGAACTAGCTGGCTTTTATTTCCCGTAGGTCAACTGGTTGGGGAGAACTCTTTATAGAACTTCAGAAAAGCACTTATACTCTTTAAAACTCTGTAATCCTTAGACCTGGAGCTAGAAAAGGCCAAGCTGATTTTAAAATTCGCAGTGGCTGCAGAGATAATGGGATTTAAAGAGTTTTCAAATTTAAAGGGGTTAAAATCATTTAAATCCTATAATCACTGAACTTTTAAATCTTGATAGCCAATTGGTAGTACAGGAGAGGATGGAGGTATATTGACAGCTAGAAAGTGCACAGTATGCTGGCACGTTTGCAGGAAAGCATTTGATTTATAAAGCAAAATAAAAAATAACGAACTTCACAAAATATGTGAAGTATATAGAAGTGGTTAATACAGTTGTTTTCTCTATTCGTTTTTCATGGAGTGGGATGAATGTGAGGTTAATATTCAGAGATGCAAAATCCAAGTTTGAAGCTTGTCTGAAGCTGTTGGTGACAAAGATACAGTCTAGTAGTGTGTCTACATATCTGGAGAGGGTTTTGGATCAGGTCTTATTGAAAGATCATTTTATAAAGACACAAGAGAGGAGACTCATGCACAAAATGCTACTCCTGTCCTGAGAGTTATTCTTAGCATTCTGGGAGGGATGTTAAAAGCTGGCTTTTTTGTCCATTCCCTTTTCTAGGCAATATCATGAGAGTTATTGCTTATGGTTAATTTGACTCTTTGAAAATTGTTTCTGTATCTTCAGGATTTACAGGCTTTTTATTAGCCTTTTATAGTTGAAAAAAAAGCACGATTAATAAAATGTAAATTCTTAGGAGCCTTGTTTGATGTTTATCCTTTAATTGGTTTTAAATTAATGTTTTAGAAGTATCTATTGCTTGAATTTGTCAAGTGTTCTAATAAATTGATTACCTATATAAAAATATATATCTTAGAGAAGAGTTTATCTCACTGTCTTCTTTTCTTTTATTTCTGGCTGTCATTTAATAGTCTATAACTCTATTGTAGAGTGTTAATCATTTCACAAGTGCCTGTCACAGGCTGAAAATGAAACATGTGACTAAAGTGTCTCACAAATTACTCTCATAAGGGAAATCCTACCAGATATCAAAGACCCTTTCATTTGTTTAAATATTAATGAATCAGATTTTGGAGCCTAAAAGGCAAAACTGACCTAGGGATGCAGTTATTTAATTAGTCATATTAATCAGGCCACCTTTGAAATTCTTTTGATACAGTTTTTAATAAAATGACTTTACCAAAGGATATTGAGTTTTATTTTGCTCTTGCAGAGGTTATGTTTTGGGAGAAAACATTCTTACTGGAAAATGATTTAGGCTTTGGAGGTACACAGGCATGGTTTGAGTTTCAGTTCTGACTCTGACTTTAAAAAGCAGTATATTTACTTTTGAGTATATTTCTTAACCTCTGAGTCTCAGTTTCCTTATTTGAAAAATAAGGACAACACCACCAACCTGGCAAAATTATTATGAGGGTTAAATAGGAAAAAGTGCATGAGGTGCCCAGCTTCAAACTACTGTTCAATGAATGCAATTCTTTTGCTTTCTCTGTACTTACCAGTATGCCATGAAGTATTCAGTATGACTGACACCAAAATATAGTCCAGAGTCCCAGACTTTATATTTAAATTTTAAAGATTCTGGACTCAGGGCAATAAATGCGTGAAGGGGCTTTCAATCTCATTAGTAATCAGGGTTTTATGAATTAAAGCCGCAATGAAAAAATATTTAAAAGCACAAGTAGTAGTGTTACCATATACTAAATATGTAAATATGGTAAATACTAACATTTAGTATTACCATATACTAAATACCAGATTGGCAAAAAATTATCTGACAATACCAAGTGTTGGTGAGGATGTGGAACAACAGAAACTCTTATATACCAGTAATGGGAGTATAAATTGTAATAATCACTTTGGAAAAAAACAGCTTCACTGTTTTATCTAGTAAAGTCAAAGATCTGCACACTGTTTGCCTTAGCATTTCTAGTCATTGATATCTACACTGGAGATGCCTATGAACTCATGCACCAGATGGCATGGACAGCACATGTGGCAACATTGTTCCTATCAGTCAGAAGTTGGAATATACCCAGTTATTGGTGACTAGGTGAATAGATCAAGACTATGCTACATAGACGGGAATACTATACAGAAATGATAATGAAGAAACTAGCTATCTGTGACAACGTGTAGGATATAAGAACATACACAGTGTGATTCCATTTATAGATCATAGCAAGGGGTAAAACTAAATGACCTTGCATAGGGATGTATTTTGGGAGTAAAACGAAAAAGAACAAAAAAAGGAAAGAAATTATCATTTTAGAAGTGGGAATAACAATTACCTCTAAGAAGAGTGTGCAGTGTGTAATCAGAATGTGTTTCTGGGAATTCAGCGATATGCTTTTTCTTGATCCCATTGGAGGTTACACATGTGTTCACAGTCACATTATTTGTTAAGTATACATTTATGTTTTTGGACTTTCCTCTGTGTCTATTTCATTTTAATAATTACGCTGAGCCCAGGAAGGATATTTATTTACCACTTACTGTGGGTGGGGAATCACACAAAGCATTTCACCCAATTTAACAGCAGGAAATAACTAAAAGGAAGCAATGGGACATTAGCTATCTAAAACAAAATAGAAATATTCGAAGTAGGCAATTTCATTTTACATGAAAATTAACAGACATATAGGTAACTTATTCCTCTAGTTCTGATTTATGCATGATAGAAGGAGAGGCTCCATACTGTAACATGAACATAAGTATAGAGCAGACATTTTTGCATGGAAGTTGATAAATAGCATTAAAAGACTCAAAGAGAATGGAGGATTTTTCTCTCAAACTCAAATAGTTCTGGACTAAGGTGGAAGGAAACCATGGTGACTTTCTACCACCTTCCTCATTGATTTCATCCTTCATTCTGGCAGTCAGACCCCAAGCCCCATGTCTGTGCTGACTCTTACTCTTAAATGTTTGTGCATTGGTCTTTACCAATAATGGTCTCAGGAGCAGTCCTTCCAGAGATGGTGGCATTGGATAAGAGACAGGAAGATAAAGCCTTTAAGAGCCAAAGTAATGTAGCTAAAAGGATAGGTCATGGATTCAATGTTATGGGACAAATAGCTTAAATAGTGACCCTCAAACCATATTTTGCAGGTAGCCGCACACTGCTCTGTCCATGTTCATTGCGTTCTAATAGCCTTGGCTGGACTGAGTCAGGTGATCACCAAGCTGATCTACTTACTTCAAGATCTTGGTCCTCAAGGTTTTCTCAGAAGTTCTTTCCCCTAAAATGCATATGCTTTCTGGAAACCACTAAACTTCCTAGATTTATTTTTAGACATGCAGCCATGCCAGCAATGGTTACCAGACCTAGAGCATCTGCGAATGTGATCATTGTCAATGATAGTTTTATTGGCCAGAGCTCCAGCTGGGCCACACATTACTGTAACTAGACACAGATATTATGAGCTCAAATGTTTATAACAAAGAATGTCTCTTCACTCCTGTCTAAAGTAAGGTGAGGTGGGAAGCAGCAGAATTAGATCAAAGATCTAGTGGACAATGTGGGGAGTAGGACTGCGTAGGAGCACAATCTGATTCTTTAGTCCTCTTTAAAAAATGGATGAGTTCTGATCCCTTTGGACCAGCCCAACTGGAAATATATGCAGTCTTGTGACTCTATGACAGCCTGTCCTGAAGGCCTCACATATAGTGAATTATACCCACTTCAAACTCTGCTTCATTTTATCAATTCATCTGTTTTTTGAATAATCTGTTCCCAAGGGAAATACAAAAAGTAAAAGTAAAAGGGATACAGGAAAGATAAGCCTGTGGGTTTGCTTCTAATTCTAATTGTTTGAGTGTTTTTTTTCCTTGGTCCAGAACCATGAAAAGAAATATGTTGTGGAAACTGTGGTGGTGATTGTAGAGGAGTTAACTGAAAGGACTAAAATACCCCTCCCACTGTTCTTATAATAAGTGACTGGTCCCACTCTGCACCCAGTGCCCACTTCCAGTCTCAACCAGGACAAGCTTTGGTTCTTTCCTTTGGGGGAGGGGAAATGTTGAGAAGCAGCAAAGCAAAAAGAGTACCAAGTAACAGACCAAGTGCTGAAATTCTGAATGTCTGCACTGGCCACCGAGCCCCAAATTCTTCATGAACACTTATGTTTGAGGTGACGATACCCACAAGGTAGCCTCAAACTGAAGTTTGCACCAGGAGCAATTTAGATTTTGCAACAGACCTTATACTCCTTTGCCAGATCATTACTGTGTCAATGATGGACCCCCCCCCCTCCATCTGTAACAAGACTGAATATGGAGACCCCATCTATAACATTATGACAGAGATACTGTATTATCAACTGACCTTGGCCATGGTAAAAAACATATGTTACTTGTGTGTTTCCAAAAATAAAACCAAACAAACGTATCTGTGCTTGGCCAAATCCTATGAATCCTATTTTGTCCTTAACACAAAGTTTAACTATTTATTTAAAATGATTAACTATAGCAGATAGGGAAGATATAAAGGATTAAGGTACCCCAGGGCATGGTTGAAAGAAATTATAGTTTTTTTCCTGTTGAGATAAAATGACAGATTTGGGGAAAAGAGAAGAAAATTAACTTTGGGCTGGGTT